AGTAGTAGTAGTATACTATATATATATATATATATATATATATATATATATATATATATATATATATATATATATATATATATATATATATATATATATATATATATATTAATATATATATATATATATATATATATATATGCGTATGTGTTAATACAGTAGTGTACCTATAGGTATATATATATATATATATAAAGGCATATTATACTTCTGAATTATTATATACGTTTGTATATCTATATTTTATATATTGATACAATTATTCATTTAGCGGATATATCTGTTCTATTAGATACACGTATACATATAATGTGTTGTTACTGTGGTACACTTGTGCATATTGAAGCGACAGGTTAGCCAAATATTTTGGATTTAAACATGGGTATATGTTTGAGTTGTGGGATCTTCATTTGTTTATCAACAAATATTCTAGCTCGATGTTTATTTCACCCGTGTTATAATATATTCGGTAACAGTTACTATAGTCCGATTGCACAAGGTGTGCGTCTTACTCACTGAAGCTTCGCTGCTATTTTAATACTAGCGAACTTTTGACAGTCTGTGCCTATGAACGAATCCCGAGTAAAGTCAGGTAGACAGATATCAGAATATAATTATTTATCAGGTTAGATTGCTGGCTATATCTCACTAATATCATCGTCGTCCTCCTCACCATATTCATCGTCTACAGACCGATTTTTCGACACATTCAAGATCAAGCTGACAATCTTATCCACAACCATACCAAGTATATAGATTACACCGAAAGAACATCCAATAAAAAAAAATATATAACGCGTTATCAACTTTTTCGTCTTCAAAGCGCACCGTGTACGGAAGGGCCTCCTCGATGCAACATATGCGCTATTTCTTTCTATCCTAACATTCCTTCGTCTGCGGTGTTCGCTGTCAATCGCAGTATCCTCATATGGGCCGCCTGCATTAGCTTCCGATATGCAGCCCAGGCTGGGAGGTTGCGCTAGAAATGGCGCTGCATCGCGTGTTTCTGTGGACCCAGTTCGCTTGAATTTCGCAATTAAATCTTCGAGGTCACCGCTCTCCAAATGAATTTTATTCGCGCCAGGACTAAAACTCGGATCAGAAGAAGCGTGCTGTAGAGTGCCTTTCATCTGCACGAATTCGACCATATCTG